AAGACATGAAACTATAAGTGTTAATTGTGTCTAAATAACTCAAAATGAGGTATTTCTATCTAAGAATATGTTCCCTATTTTAAAGTGAAGTCTTGTTCATAACCAATAAGCTAGTAGTTTGACTCTAATTGACCTGAACAGGTTCCCTATTCTGAAGTTGCCTCCTCTTCACACTTTGTAAATACATTATAGCACACAACTACTGAAATTAACAAATATGATCTATTCTTATGTAACAAGACATTAAACTATAAGTGTTAATTGTTTAAATTACTCCAAATTTGGTATTTATATCTAAGAATATGTTTTGGGGTATTGACAGTTCAGCTACCAATAGCAAGGTGATATTGACCTGTATGTTTCATATTTGCACATTTATATTTTTGTAAAATGTATACTGAAGGAAGACATTAAATTATAAGTGTTAATTGTGTCTAAATAACTCAAAATTAGGTATTTCTAGCTAAGAATATGTTCCCTATTTTAAAGTGAAGTCTTGTTCATAACCAATAAGCTAGTAGTTTGACTCTAATTGACCTGAACAGGTTCCCTATTCTATCCTCTTCACACTTTGTAAATACATTATAGCACACAACTACTGAAATTAACCTCAACAGTACATGAACAAAGTAGGCTCACGTTGAAATATCTGTTTTATTAATGAACCACTAAAGAGAGGTTCAGACACATCCCAAAACATGTCAAGTTTCTCCAAGGCTGAGAAGACATGCAGTCTGTACTTTTTAATAAAAACAGATTTTGAACAGATGTTATGTATTTGTGATCCTACTGTGTGACCTGCTTGTATGTACTTACACAATAGGTGTACTGTTCTCTCTATGTGTTGTCCTGTCTCAGTGTGAACATAGATTAAACAGCCAGCCAGACTTTTTTGAGAGCCAGGGAATGAGCAGCCATGCTCCTTTATTTAATTATTTGCAGTCCACTGACATTCAAACGGAGTGAAACTATAAACAAAGAAGTTACAAGGCACTTATTGATCTCATACATGCAAGTGTAACATACACAGATTAACACATAGGACCGCTAAGTGTAAACAAGGTAAATATAGCTAATGCTAGCTGTGCAATAAGCATGTATACAGGCTAGTATGGCTAAGCGAATGCTAACGCATTTTCTCATTGAGTTTAAACATCTCCAAATGTCATCACATAAACACAATACATGTTACTAATCCTTACAGTGTAAGTGTAAGGATTACACTTACACTTACGGTCATTGCTTTCTGACGGACTTGACCCTTTTACTCTTCAGGTTGCATAGGGGAAATTAGCAGTAGTCTACTGCCATGCTATTCAGTTCACTTTCTCCTACTTCCTGTACCCGGTTTCCTGTCTAACCTTCAGTATACATTTTACAAAAATATAAATGTGCAAATATGAAACATACAGGTCAATATCACCTTGCTATTGGTAGCTGAACTGTCAATACCCCAAAACATATTCTTCTCCTTATTAGGCCCATATTGAGCAGTGCATATTAAGACCAAAACTCATGTACAACAACTTCCTTACTTGCAATAAATAAGCACTAATTAGAGGGTTATTGAGGAAAAACTCTCAAATAATGGCTTATTACTTGTAGAATATGGTCATGTAGAATAAGGCATTAATAAGTGTTTTATAATGACTAATAAAGAGCCAATATACTGCTAATATGCATGTTAATTAACAACTAGTTGATGGTTAATTTGTGTACCTTAATATACTGTAATGATACCCTTGTGTGTGATGAATGGTGAAAATGAATGATACACTGAACAAGAGGAACATGATGGAAGTTTCTTTCATTCAACTCCAAGTGCCTGGAAGAGTTGTGGCAATTTAGCAGTCATACTGCATAAATCTCTGTAATCACTCTGTTTGTGTAAGTGAAAGACTCAATATCTCATATAATCCCAGTCAAGAAAATCATTTTTTATTTTATCAGGGACTTTATAACAATTCTGTGATGTGTGTGCTTGTCTAAACCAAATCACAAGGGGATTTCTTAATAGCAAACAGAAATTAAGTTTGCAACAAACAGAGGAAAAAAGTAAATTAATATCAACAGTGCACCAGAATCTTCATCCTCATTCTGTTGATGAACTGAACAAATCTTTCTTAAGAGTGTAGGGTACACTTTACACAATTCCATATTCTTGACCTTTCCTACAACCTCACAGAGCCACTAACATGGCTGTAGTCTTATATCAGCTGTCCTGTACTGTATATTGTGCTTATGAAGGGTATCTTTGACTGATGCATTCATTTTGACCGAAATGTACCTCTGCCAAGGAAGTCATGTTTTTTGGCTTGGATTCTTTGTCCATCTGTCAGCAAGATTACTGAAGAACTACTGACCTGACTTTCATGAAACTTGATTGAAAAGTTTTGAATAGGCGAAGAAAAAAACAAAAGATTGTTTGGAGTGGATCCAAAACATGGAGGCAGAATCACACATCTTTCCTTTGTTAACTATCACTAACCGTCAAGATAGTGCTGCATTCATGTGGTAATGAAGTTATTGGGTAAATGTGCTCCGTTTGGGAAAACTCATATGAATGCTCCCAGGGCCGGTTCTAGACAATTTGATGCCCTAGGCGAGATTTTAGCTGCCTCTGTCTTTGGCCTGGTGGCTTGTTCAGGCATCTAATTGTAGCAGAAGTGTTCTCATTCATGCAGGTCATGATACGTAGGAGTGTAACTTAAAGCATGTGAGTTAGGGTTACAGTGCACATTTCCCTACTTCTTTCCTTTACAACAGCCATAAAACTTTTATGCAATCTTTCATTTTCTGTGGTTAGGGTTAGGGTTAGCGTCTATGGTAACGTTGTCATCATTTTCCAATGTTTACGCTCAGCTGTTTTAGGACAGATAATTCATAGTTCTGCATGAGGGCAGGTCATGAATAAATCCAGTGAGGGATTAGAGAGTCAAGATATCGATCTGTGGTATTGTACAGATGTACTTGCCCTATTGATATCAGATAGCACACCGACTTTGTGGAATAGCAAAATGCTTGTCTACACTTTTCTTTCCAAAAGCCTTGCATACTCAAGCTCAGATAATGTGGACTGTCTTCCCAAGAGAACTGTTGGCTTTGTTTTCCGAACCCTCTCTCCTAAAGTAACTGAAAACTCATGGATACTGACCTGCCCGCCCTGTGGGCTTTAAAAATACATATTTATCCTTTGTACCTCCCTTTAAAAAGCTGCTCTAAATTCCTAAGAAGATAAAAAGGTTAGTAAGCTAATCAATCTTAATATAACTTTTCAGAATGTTTGCATCTTTTAACCAAGTAGCTTGAAACCAACAACGAAATATGTATTCATTTTCATCAAAGGGGCTCTCTCATGCTCGTTTTCAAGTTCATATTAGTCATTTGCGCCTCTTCTGTGACATGTCTCCATGCTTTAATGTTCAAAAAGCTCTTTCTTTTTCTCATACTATCTGTGCTGCAGCACCTCTTTTCACCCTCTGTCTGAAACCAGAGCCCAATCTGCTCTGATTGGTTAGCTGGTCAGCACTGTTGTGATTGCCATTTTATATGCCTGTTATGTTAAAAAAAAAGTCTGTATACTCAATGCTAAAGGGACATTTTAATTTTTTCAAAATCGTTAGTGTCCATGGTTAGCATTATTCATTTTTTGCAGTGACAGTTTAAAAAAAAAAAACTCCAACTTCTTACAGTCCTTTCTTATATCTACCAACAAGTTGATTCATTTTCTGAATTTGACTTTAAGAAGCAAATTTACATATTGCCACTGTCCCTTACCACAACTCTCTAGTAAAACATTGTAATTTTATTGAATGTATGGTTTTATGCTGGGATTGCTGTAGAAATAAAAAAAATGTAAAAGGTTTTATTGGGGACATTTTTGTCATCACAAATATATGCCATACAGCCAAAATGGTCAATCGAAAAGCGAAAAAGGGTCACTTTTGCGGCTTAGGAGGCTAAGGCCCCGCTCACACGGGACCGTTTGCGTTTATGCACAGTATGCGTATTCAAAAAAGTCTTCTGTTCACATGCATTTGTTTCATTTAACGTGTCTGTTTAAACGAGGCCGCTGGAAACGCTGTAGTACATATGCTGGGACTGTAAGTGGCGCTGTAACTTCCGCCAAAATACACCAAAAGCCGCGAAGAAGAGCAGCCTGGAGCAGCCCCGCAGCAATGTTGCCATGGCTACCCTTCTGTTTAAGCCCTGAAACTGAAACTGAAACTGAAAGAAACTGAAAGAAACCGAATCTGTTGTTGCTGATGGTTGTGGTAGAGGAGCTGTATATTTTTGCACTAATATCTGTAGCATGGTCAGTAGCAGTAGCACTAGCAGTAGCTACTGACAGGAGGAAGTCAGTGTGTGTGGCGATTGCTGGTATTCAGCGGGATATAGTCATTTCCTCAGCATATGGATAAATGCAACGGGGAAGTTAACTGAAAGAAACCAAGAAGCACGTCTCTGTGGATATTGCATCGAGAGGACGGCTCAGAAAGAGAGATATTCTCTACAAACACCGGGTGAGATCGCTCCTTTGTCAATATAATGGATCAATGCATGAAATCTGACTCTGTTTATTTTGTTTAAGGAGTATATTGGGCGTTAACAATTCTGGTTTGCCTTTTATAATATTATTTCATTCAAGAACCCCTTGTGCGTTTAATTAACACAGCTATTTTTGATGGTTGCTACAGCAGTGAGCAGGAGAGGTGCTATTTTTTTTTTTTTTCGCTATTTTTTCAGGAAATATTCGTATAGAGGTGATTACACGGACTCGGTTGACCCCCCAGAGCGTTTCGTTTGCAAATCTATCCACCTTGGGACCCGTTATCGTTTGTGGGGTCAGTTTCTATCGGCCTCGTGTAAATAATAGGGCTATACGCACGCGAAACTATGCAGATACAAGCAGTTTTCTCCTCGTGTAAACGGCGCGTAATGTGGGATGTTATTCAGAGACTGTTGTTTCTGTGTGTGTGTCACTGTGTGAAAACACTGACCTGCAGATGGAGTGTATCTCGTGTGTGTCTTCATCCTTGCTGGCGTTGTCCGTGAGACTGTCGCCCAGAGCCATCAGACACTGAGCGAAACCCTTGTAGATGGAGTGACACCTTCTCGCTGAAGATGCAGCAACAGGGCATGAGCTCGGCACTGGAGAACGAACACACACACACACACACACACACACACACACACACACACACACACACACACACACACACACACACACACACACACACACACACACACACACACACACACACACACACCAGAGTAAGTGAACAGATAAATAGAGCGTTTGTGCGGTGAGTGACACCGCTGTCCATGCAGCTTTTTGTTTCAATGATGGACTGTGAGGTTGAGTATTATCCATCACTAACAGACAGCTGTGGGTCCATCTTCATTTATTTCCCCTCTCACTCAATCATTCTTTCAGGTCCGCTGCTGATCGATTGCTCACATAAAAAAATGGGACTTGTCACGGCTAGTTGAACAGGAAATGGATATACAACAGAGGAGAAATTTATTTATTTATCCTGAGAGATCACATTCAGATCAGAGCAACAACCGAAACAATCATGTTTGATCGCCCCAATCACTTTCAATTGACTTGACAACCCGCACAAAAGGAGTTTCCACCAATACACACTTATATTTTAGTCTAAAAGGTCAGAGGGGGCATACTGGAAAACAAGAAACAAGAAAACACTGGAAGACATTTAAACTAAAGACTATTTTACACATATTTCCTGGTAAATTACTGGGAACGCCAGTGATTTTTTTAATATTCACACATGCACTCTCTTTAGAAACATTTCTATCTGGGACCTCTTCACCCATGCGAAGGCAGTGCCAGAAGAGATAGCCAAGGGACATTCCAGCAGATAACATAAATGTAATGCTTATGGATACCAACCGCAATAAAACTCAACAGAATTAGATAAGGCACATTTGGATGTTCCTGTACGAAGAACACTATGTCTCTTATTATTTTTAGGAACATGGAGGACCTTTTTGTCCAGTGGCAATCTTCTTGCAATATATTTAATATAGGTGCTTGGTGTGAATACTTAACCTTAAAAAACATTGTGAGCTGAAAAACTAAATGTAGAGATGAAAGAAGGAAAAACACTGTGGGTTAATCACTACGGGTGACCCATATTCATACTCCACATTCCGATGTTAATATAAATATTCACTACTGCAGCTTTAACATTGAAATGTAAAGGTAGTGCCTTTAATGCACTAAAAAAGTAGTAAGTCAAATCTTAAAAAAAGATCCAACCTGGAGCAACAACAAAGAATTAGTCAGGTGTCAAGCCTCTGAGAGTCTTGTCAGCATGGATTGTCAAGACACTGACAGAGAACATCAGGGCAAGGTGCTTACTGTCTCAGTACATAGAGTGATACATCAGGGTTGGACTTGCAGGACAATCTGTGTTCTGGAAAAATAAAAATATATATCAGATTTCCATATTGGAAATGTCTTTTAATGACCCGTGTCAGGAAGTATCAGATGTTACATATACACATACGCTTCTAGTTGTTTTTTTTCTTTATGATAACTTCTGATTTGAAGTCATTTGTCCAAAACATGTGAACAGACTGATCATTTGTAAATGTGACAACTCCCATTGGTTTTAAAATTATTGTTTTGAATTCTTGAGTTTGGAATATTTTTGGTTGCCATCTTGGTTTTTGAATCAGAAGTGACACAATGGGTAGAGCAAAGATTAACTAACCACTGAATACAGATTACTTTTTCGGTGGATTCAAATTGTACATATTAATGAACTGGAAACACATTGTGAAAGGTTTATAGTTCTAAGAAGAAAACATGGCTAACAAACAAATCGGACAAAACAGTGATAGCGACTTAATAATCACAAGGTGGCCCCCCTAAAGCATTCATGCTTTATCAAGTATTTGGGACCATTTGCTAAATGAACATGATGCTGTATTGGAGAAAAATAGCAAACAATGTTAACATGCTGTAAGGTCTCAATTCATATTTTCTGAGGTTATAAATCAATCAAAAAGTATGGTAATGTTTTCATAGACTTTTATACAATCTCAAACCTCAAGGCATTTCAGCATTGGCTTAAAATGTAAGACTCGGAGGTTGCCGCTTAATATCCAATTAGAGTCTGCCTATACAGTAATATATAACAGAGGATAAATGCTGTATGGCAGGGGTCGGCAACAGGCGGACCGCGGTCCGGATCCGGACCCAGACGCCGACCTATACGGACCCGGACCTATAATCAATACATTAATAGGGGATTTCAATTTTGACAGGGCGATTCTATTTTAACCGCTGCCGACAGGGGGCGAAAGAGACGAGTGAGCGATACAGGGAGAGAAACACAGAAGAAGAGACGAGAGCGCGGCAGAGAGAAGCGGAGAGGAAAGTGAGTAAAGAGAATAATTAGCGATACAGGGAGAGAAGACGGAGAGGAGAGTGAACAGGCGTGTTAGCGGCAGACAGGGAGAGACAAATAATGACACATGGCGCTCTCCAAGAAGAGGAAAGTGGACAGTGAGAACAGAGCTTTTAACCCTGAGTGGACGGACTCATTCATGTTCATCCTGCCCACTGGGAGCACAGAACCAGTGTGTCTCATTTGTTCATTGACCGTGGCACTCAAGCAGAATACAAAAATCAAGTAACTGTACTCAGCTCGCGTTATATTTGAAAAACGAGTAATCTGATTACAGTTACTTTCGTAAACCTGAAGTGAATACATTTTGGAATACTTATGGGAATTATTGGTGGAAAAGTTTCCTCATAAAATGTAATAGTCATTACCAGCAGAACTGTGTGCACACTGCACAGCGCTGCAGCGTGTCTGTTAGAGATGGGCGAGTCCTGATTCATCCGGATCATTAACCCGGATCCTAGAAATGAGCTGGTCATGACGAGTCTCCCCTCTCCATTAACCCGAGTCCTTGAGTCCCACACTTGGTGTGACGTACAAATTAAAACTATAAATTGCGTCACTCGCTACTCTCTTTATAACATGTAAAATCACATTACAACGTACCCCAAGTCCATCTACCTACCCTTTAGCAAGTATACAGGATAGCTGCCAGAAGTGATCGTTTGGCTCAGGGGAGGGGACGCGGATCAGTGAAACTTCCTGCAGACTCGTGGGGACTCAGAGGAGCCGACGGCTCCAACAGCAGACTCGCAGATTCGCAGATTCGCAGATTCGCAAATCCTGACTCGCTGCAACACACAGCAGACTCGTGCGGACTCAGAGCCGTATATAGCAGCAGATCCAGAGATCCAGCAGACTCGTCGTCATGCACGAGTCCACACAGCAGACTCGGATTCGCAGATTCGCAAATCCTGACTCGCTGCAACACACAGCGGATCAGACTCGTGCGGACTCGGAGCCGTAACCATATAGCAGCAGATCCAGAGATCCAGCAGACTCGTCGTCATGCACGAGTCCACAGCAGACTCGGATTCGCAAATCCTGACTCACTGTGTGTGCAACACACAGCAGAGCAGACTCGTGCGGACTCGGAGCCGTATATAGCAGCAGATCCAGCAGACTCGTCCTCATGCACGAGCAGACTCAGATTTGCCAAATCGCAAAATAACCCTTTTTTTTGTGATCAACATTTTTTATTAAAGCAAAATACACTGTGTAGCGGAGGTTAATTATAACGTCAGTTTAATAGATAGATAGATAGATAGTACTTTATTGATCCCAAATTGGGAAATTGTTGTTGTTACAGCAGCATAAAAGGCATTTTACAATAAAACAAAACTACAAAATATACAAGAATAGAAATAAAAATAAAATATACATGTCGAAATAGAAAATATACATGCAGATATTATATATATATATATATACAAATATATATATATATTCAAAATATATGGAATAATAATATGCTCGTGAAATGCAACAACTTTTCGGTTTCACCAATAGGATTTCTACGGTCTTGGTGATGCTGACTCATATGACTCAAATGACTCGTATGATCCGGATCTCTTCAATGACTGACTCAGAAGACCCTGAGTCCGTAAAATGATCCGGATTTGCCATCTCTAGTGTCTGTGAACGAGAGAGAGATGCAGCGTGTCTGTGAGGCCCCGCCCCCGCACGCAGATCAGAGAGAGAGATCTCTTTTAAAATATATTGAAAGTTAGAAACGGAGATGGTTCGATAAAATGTGCAAGATAACGTTTATGTAGCATTTCTTTATTGTCGAAATGATGACATTTCATAACGGGATCAAATCAAAGTGAATGGCCTGCTGCTGCTGAATGCATGGGGCAAGTGACTGGAAACAGTTTTAAAAGTTATTACGTCGTTTCAGATAATAAATAATAATGATAATTCATTCTATTTAGGGGCGCCTTTCAAAGCACCCAAGGACACCTGACAATTCATAACATATTCTAAGGAAAGGTTTAAGAGAGTACAAATAATGCAGTCCGGGTGATGTTTTTTATGTGGGGTGCAGATGAGAGGGAGCTGTCCAGAATGACACCAAGATGTTGTGTTTGAGTTGTGCTCTTGATAAGCCATTAAAACAGTAAAATACGTGTCTCCTGTTCACCAAAACATACCCATCTGTTATGGAAAAATAAAGTATTCCAAAAGTATTCTAAAAGTAATCTGAATACGTTACTTTTTTAAGACACGTAACTGTAACTGTATTCGGATGACTTTCAGAGCCATGTATTCAGTATTCAGTAACCGATTACATTTACAAAGTAACCCTCCCAACCCTGATTAAAAGTGCCAAAACGCCACTATGAGACAAAACACAAAGTGTTTGACCAAACATTCCCTCTCAAGTCAGAACTGAGGTCACAAAAAATAAGCAGTCTCAGAGCCCAATATGATCAGTCCACCAGGATCAAAATTAAAACTAAATATCGTTCCAGGTCAGGCTAACCGAGGCTAACCAATGAGCACCTGCATGTGTGTATGAGAATGGCCCTGACACAATTTCAGCCCAGATTTAAACTCCTGGCAGGACAAGCTCAAGCTCAATTCTCGCACTGAATTAAAGAAAAGTGAGTGAGGGACTGCAATATAAGAGGGAAAGAAAGAGAAACTTTAAAACTGTTCAATTGTTATGATGTGTAAAGACTGATATTGTTCTATAATCGTCTGAAACTG